TTGATCCCTTCTCAAAAGTAGCTGTTCAATTTGCAAGAAGTATCTGAATCAACTGCATGGGAATGATGAAATCTACCCACAGCAATCCTGCATTCAGGAGAGTGCTGATGAAGAATGGGTAGATATAAACAAGTCTTTCTCAGCTCAATTTCTGACCACATACATAATTGAACAGACTTCACAGATTACGCTGACTGGGAATGCAGCCTTTGCATACAGTATGGAAAATTCACTGAACAAATGAAAAATTGTGCCCCTCCAACAGGCAACATCACCAACTAGAGATTGTGACTAATCTGATTTTCAAAGTTACAACATCACAACATTCAATTCAGAATTCAACAAAATATTTCTAAGCTTACCAAGGAATAAGAAAGTGTGACACATTCATGGTGGGGAAATCATCTGAAAATTTCCTGAGGAGGCATAGCATACCTGAGGAAGGGTGAACACAAAAATAAATTAACCTTGTAAATATGCTCATGGGGATAAAGAAACTTATGGAAAAAGATCTATAGAATATTAGGAAAATTATGTCTGCATAAGCAAGAAATATTAAAAATACATATAAAAAAGAACCAAACATTTTGGAATAGAAAAGATCAAGAGCTAAAACCAAAGCTTCTCCATGGGTGTTCAACAGCAGCATTGAGCAGACCAAAGAATAATCAATTTACTGAAGAGACATTTAATGAGATCACATTGTATGAAGAGAAAAATTAATTAATTAATAAAATTAACAACATATGAGAGACCTATGGGCAACCTTAAACAGAGCAATAGATGCATCATGTGTGTCTCAGAAGAAGAAAGATGAAGCTGAAGAAATATCTTGTGAAATAATAACTAAAAGTGCAAACATGAGGAAAGATCTATATCTTCAAGGAGCTCAATGATGTAAAATCAGAGTTTGAGGGTGATGTATTTTATGACAACTATCATAAGTCAAGTTTGAAAACAAAATATTGAGAAGAGAAAGAGAGAAGAAACTCTTCAAACTCAAATGATCCTCAGTAATATTAATATTTCACTTTTCATCTGAAGCTATTCAGGCCACAAGGCAGGGATAAAATATCAAGTAATGAAAGAAAAGAATTTCTTTCTTTCAAGAATTATATACCAGGTAAAACTATTCTTCTAAAATTAAAATGTTATTATGGTTTGGATCTTCCATGTTTCCAAAAATGTACAACAAGTGTTTAAAGCAAGCTCCCCAATGCAGCAACGTTCAGAGGTGTTTTTTTTAAGTGAATGTTTTTTTTTATTTTTATTGTTTACAATCATACTTCTTTATAACAAATCTCAAAATTTGCATGCTTTTTGTTATATCACAAGAGAAGATGACTACAAATACAACACATACATTTAAATATTAAATACAAAAAATCTTAAAAATTGTAGATCTTTAAAATCCAATATTTTTTTTTTATTTTTAAATCACTTTTATTTTTTAAATACATGACAGCGGAATACATTACAATTCTTATTATATATATAGAACACAATTTTTCATATCTCTGTTTGTATATAAAGTATGTTCACACCAACATTTTAAATAAAATTTTCATATATATATATATATATATATATATATATATATATATATATATATATATATATATACAGCTTCAAATTTTTATTATCTGTATGGAAAAGATCAGCTTTATAGAAAATATTAAAATGGACAAAAGTATGAATATACGTATTCAAAGAAATACAAATTACTTACTAGTAGAATATGTTAATTATCTTTTAAATATTTTATTTAGATTTGTTATACATGACAGCAGAATGCATTACAATTTATATTACATATATAGAGCATAAGTTTTCATATCTCTGATTGAATACAAAGAATAATCACACCATTTGTGTCCTCATACATTTACTTAGGGTAATGATGTCCATCTCATTCCACTGCCTTTCCTACTCCCATATCCCCTCCCTTTCTCTCCCTCCCCTTTGCCCTATCTAGAGTTAGAGAGGTGGGGTATTTATGGAATTATTAGATCATGAGGGCTCTAATGTCCTCAATGGATTAATCCATGGTGGTTGAATGGACTGGATTACTGGGAGGAGAAACCTACATGGGGAAATTAAATCAATGTGGGGCTGCTTTAGAAGGATTTATCTTCTCCCTGGCTAATGCACCATTCTCCTCTTCTTCTTCCTCCTCCTCCTTCTATTCCTTATCCTCCTCCTTCTCTTCTCCCTCCTCCTCCTCCTCCTCCTTCTTCTTCTTCTTCTTCTTCTTCTTCTTCTTCTTCTTCTTCTTCTTCTTCTTCTTCTTCTTCTTCTTATTCTTATTCTTCTTCTTCTTCCTCTTTATCTTCTATTCCTGTCTCTCTCTCTTTCTCATTCCCTGATTCCATGAGCTGTCCAACTTCCCTCCATGAAGCCCTTCTATCATGAGTTTTCTGCAACTGAGTCAGAAATCATAGAAACCTAAAAAACTGTGATTCAAAATAAATAAGTCCTCCTCAAAGTTGTTTTTATCAGTATTTGGTCAGAGTGATGAAAAGATGACTAATAAAAATGGGTTAGTCACAGTTCTGGTAGTCTTGCCCATGCTGACATCCTAAGGGCAGTTCTAAGACTAGTCAAGGACAAGAGATGGTAGCTGAATAACCTGAAGAATTCAAGATCTCTAGTAAAGCTAACTACATAGGTAAACATAAATCCTAAAACATGTTATAATATTGTAATTTTATTTTGTATTATTTTATTGAATGAATGAAAATATGAAAAAAGTCACATTTTGAATTGATAATACAAATGGGAACAAAATGCACACACATCAAATGTGACATTAACATCATAAACAAGGAGAAGGAATAGCTAAGGGTATGTGGAAAGGTGACATATGCTGATATTCTCTGTGAAATTTATTAGTGTCAGAGTTTTGCACCTGACTGAGCCCTTGATGATGATCATATGCTGATGAAACTAATTAAGTTTCAATTCAAACTTGTTAATTAGATAAGTCAGTATGTGTCATTCACATAGTAGCCACTATGAAAATATATGCAAAAGGACATGAAGAGGTAACAAAAATGGTATACTGGGGAATAATCAACCAATCACAATGGAAACCAGTAGTGGAGCAATGAAGAACATAAAAAAAAGATAAGTTACATGTAGAAAACTAACATCACATTGACAGGATACTTTCATTATCATTAATAACATTAAATGAAAAATATGAGACTTGGTTACTCAATACATAGGAAGCCTGGGTCCCCTTATGGTTTAACACATTTTCTCTGTTGTATTTTTGGAGAAAGACCACAGATAATTTGAACATCTTCTAATAAAAACAAAACACATGTCACAAGATCTGGAACTGAAATGACTCCCTATCCACTGAGAATGCCACCAATCTGAGAATTACAGGGCAGGTTGGTGTGGGTACATTAGTCACAGGAGTGAGGCTGGACACAGGCTCTTTGGTGACAAAGGCTTTGAGCTCACCAAGGAATGAGAAGCTCTTGCTCTGGGTATACTCAACCAGCAGGGGCCAGCAGAGCAGTAACTATCTAGACAGCAAACAGGCTGCTGAACAGGCTTAGTCCAAGAGTGAAGCCAGCTCTGGAAGCCAAGGGATGTCCAATTTCATTCTCAAATTTAGACATCAGAAAAGTCCAAACTGTGCCCTGGCCTGCAGTGAGCCCATTCTTAGGATCAGGCTATTATAGGATCACTGCAGGACATTGTCAAGAGCCTAGGCACAAAGAGGACCTCAGTTGGGAAATAACCATGGAGGAGCCTAGTCATATCTGTCAGCATGGCAGACTTTTCTGGGTAAAACTCACTGGAGGGACCAAGCTCTGGTCCAGGTGCTGCAGCATGGAGCACAGCATGAGAAGATGAATTTACCAGGGTCTGTGTCATTTCTCAGCATGAATGCATGGGCCTCCTCCTAATCTCAGGGCACCATTTATCTCTGTCCAGAAGTCATTGATGGGATATTGCTCCATACTAGACACTTTGAAACATTTCTATACACTCCCCACTGGCCTTTTCTCCCACCTCCAGGCATATCTTGCCCCAGGCTGTGTCTCCTATGCTCAGGTGCAGTCTTGGATGAGAGAAGAAGGCATTTGGTCCCTTGTCCCTGGATGGAGTAAGCACAGGCTCCCTGAGGAGACTCTCAGAATAACACTGTCCACCATCTGCCTCACATCACTTTCCTGAACCTTGAATTAACCTCGGTTCAGTGATAGGATCCTGTTGCTTGAGAGATCCTTGGCAACCCACCCTACAGAGTTCAGCCATGTTCAAAACTGTGACACTGAGGAACTTCACAGAGAATATGGGGTCTAAAGCTGGTTTCTCCATCAAGTTTGAACTCTGACACTTTAAAACCTATTGCATAAAACATGGATGATTAAAAAATAGTATACTCTTGACTATTGCTTGTATATTGTGGAATGAGGGATGTTAAACAGTGTTTTTGAGGCCAGAAAATGTAGGAAATACATAAAAGAATGTGGTTACTTAAGTGAACAAGGTTTAATGTGTGACATATTTAAAAGCATCCCAACAACCAGAAAAAAAAAAAAAAAAAAACATTAACGAAATACCAAAGATGAAAACAAAGTACATCTTGAAGACAATGTGAGGAAGATGAAGGTCCATTGTCCACCACAACTGGGCCCAGCTCAGCCCATGGCCAGGCTCCTGAAATCTTCACAGTCCTGATAAAATACAGCCAGAGAAGAAACAGCCCAGAAAAATGAAACAGTGGTCAAGGGGTCAATTCCTGGAAAATGACATTAATCAGAGGTCATAGAAATCAAAGCTGATGTTTTGCTCAAAGCATCTTGGAGAAAGTTGAATGCTCAACCTCGATCTTCGCAGTCTCTTCTTCTCTACCCACAGCTGATTTCAGTGACTTCCCATAATTGGTAGTTACAGAGAATGGATAATTTGCATGATCATCAGACATGCATTTACCCAAACATCTTGAAAGAAATAAGAGAGGTCCTGGAGAACCCAGCTGTGCTGTGCATATCATCACAAAGAGTTTTTGCATGTCTCCACCATGAACAGCACACCTCTACTCTTCCAACTCCTCTTGCTCTACACAGGTGATCTACCTATTGGGGTGTCACAGGATCATGAGCTGGACCTTCCCCCAAATCTAAGCTCATTTGGACATAGATTTAATGGGTACCCTGGGTAGGGGTCCTTCATCTCTTCCTTCTCTTTCAGGTTCTGCCTTGAATGAGCTGACTCAGCCAGCCTCAGTCTCAGTAACCCCAGGACAGACAGCCACAATCACGTGCTCTAGAGATGAGTTTTCAAAATATTATGCACACTGGTTCCAGCAGCAGCACCCAGGACAGAGCCCTGTGCTGGTAATATTATATGATGATAATAAGCGACCCTCAGGGATCCCGGAGAGATTTTCTGGGTCCAGCTCAGGGACAACAGCCACTCTGACCATCAGCAGAACTCAGACTGACGATGAGGCTGTCTATTACTGTTCTTCATCATATGGTGAAGGTGATAATGAACTTCCCACAGTGACACAGGAAGATAGGGAAGTGAGACACAAACCTCTACCCTGCAAGTGTCACTCTTTTCTCCAGATTCAGTAGGACTGCAATCAGAGCCTTGAGCAGAACAGGTTCAGCTCATCCAGATATGAGGCCCCTATACTGCTTCTTCCCAGCCCTACAGTGAGATTCAACAAAGGAGAAAGGTCAGGGATGATTTTATGGTCATCAAGACAGATTGTCATGGTGTTTTATTATCCAGACAGTGAGAAAGAAAAAAAAATGAATGGAAACAAAGTTAGAAAGAGCCATCCCTCAATGTCATGGTTTCTGGATTTCCATATTATGGTGCCTGGACCTCTCTAGGGCCCTAATGTTCTAGATTTCTAGCCCTTGAGTTGCTCAGCACTTCTCAGACCCTGTAAACTTAGGTTCCCATGGCAACCTTCATGCTGAACACAGAAGACCACTATAGCGTACAGAGAGGGATTGAACTTGATTTCCTCTTCAGAGCTCACCCAACCACACACAGAACCTTGGATTTCTCACAGCTCACGGAGATGCCCTCACTAATCTGCTTCTCCAGGTTCACATCTTTCTCTGACAGGTTCAGTTTAACGGTTGGTTGAGGCCATGACCTCAGAGTCCTTCCCCATTTTAGGGTGTCCTGCAGGTCATCCAAAACAATCTGTTGGGATGCTGAGAGCTCAACTGTCACCTAAGGGTCACTGTATCTTTCAGCACAGTACTGCCTCCATCTCTGATTTCAAGGCAGCCTGAGCATCATTCTTCACCTGAGAGTCTGCACCAGGACATCTGATCAATGAAGCTCAGGTGTTTCCAATGCTGACATCCAGGGACTCTAATGGTTTGGATATGTGGTCTTCCAAAAAAGTTCATGTGTGACAAAATGCAAGAATGTTCAGAAAAGAAATGATTAGGTTATAAGGTGTAAACTAATCAATGGCTTAATCCATTGATATGGGTGTGAACAGTACGAAGGTAGGTCATGACTGGATGAGTTCATCACTGGGGGCATGTATTTATGTTTTATATTTTGTCCCTTGTGAGTAGTGCTCTCTCTGCTTCCTAATTGCCATGACTTGAGATGCTCTCCTCCTCTATGTCTTTCCTCAATGATATTCTGCTTCCCCTTGGGCCTGGATCAATAGAGCTGGCTATCTACAGACTGTGACCTCTAAAAGCATGCATCAAAAAAAGTCCTCTAAATAGTTTTTATTGGGTTTTTTGGTCACAGCAACAAAATAACTAACTAAAAAACGGAGCATGAAAGCCATTCTGTATTAAAAAAGCTGCTGTCTCATTCTAAATTCCCACTATAAATGCTCTAATGCACTAATACCAATTTTTCCTTGAATTTTTGTAAAATGACATCTTACGTATTCTGGATTATGAAAGATTTGAAGCATCAGACCCATATTGGAGCTAAATCCAGGGATACGTGGATGACCAGAGCCCTCATGTCTACATAGTGACCCAACAGATACCCAGCTACAGGTATGAGTTACAGAATCAAACTCCTTCATTTCTAACCTGCATACCTTGTACAACAAAAGTTATTTTTGCTACTATCCCAACCAGAAATATACATTTGAGTAATTCTGAGAAATATATGTAAGCCTATCAAAGTTAGAACAAATAAAACTACCACATTCCACCTATGTGAACCAGAAACTCATTCCAAGTTCCATGATCTTATCACCTCAAAATAAGGACAATTATGAATACCTTGCTACCCTTAATATGGCAAATTACCAACAAAGAACTAAAACAGAAAATGCCAATCTTTTTACTCCAAGAATATACAACATACTTTTCATCGTCAAGTATGTTCATTGTTTCTTAATATTTGGTATTGTCGAGGCGGGCCTGCAACCCACCGGCAGAACAGGCCCAGTGGCCTGCTGAGGAGCAGAGCCGCCCCCTCCCCCCGTGCCTGCAAGGTAGGCGGAACTGTGACCACTGACAGAACAGGCACAGCGGCCCGCAGAGGGGCAGAGCCGCCCCCTCCTCCCGCACCTGCAAGGTAGGCGGAACTGTGACCACTGACAGAACAGGGCCAATGGCCAGCGGAGTGGCAGAGCTGCCAACCACACCTGCAAAATAGGCGGAATTCCGACCCCCCGGCAGAACAGGCCCAGCAGCCTGCTGAGGGGCAGAGCCGCCCCCTCCCACCGCGCCTGCAAGGTAGGTGGACCTGCGACCACCAACAAAACAGGCCAGACCTTCAACCGACAGGCAGAACAGGCCCAGCGGCCTGAGGAAGGGTAGAGCCGCACCCCCCCGCGCCTGTAAGGTAGGCAGACCTGCTACCCACCGGCAGAACAGACCCAGCGGCCCGCAGAGGGGCAGAGCCGCCACCCGTGCCTGCAAGGTAGGCAGACCTGCTACCGACCGCAGAACAGGCCCAGCGGCCTGCCGGCATGGTAGGCACATTGCCCCAATTGGAGGAAGGGTAGAGCCGCCGCCCGCACCTGCGAGGGAGACTTTGCAACTATAAAAGAGCAATATAAATATATAGGGGGAAAATTCAATAGCACAACATTTTCACCAAGCAGAAAGAAATGCGAACAGTATGGAGAGACAAGGGAAGAAAGGACCACAAGCAATGCAGGTCAACTCAATGTTAGAAGAGGTAATAACTGTAGCAGATGGAATGTCAGATAAAGAATTCAGGATATACATGCTTCAGATGATATGGAGTATCAAGGAAGACATCTGACAGCAAAATCAGACAATGAAAGATCACTTCAACAATGAATTACATAAACAAATCCAAGAAGCAAAAGATCAACTATACAGGGAGATAGAGGTTATAAAAAAACAAACAAACAGAAATCCTAGGAATGCAGGAAGCAATAAACCAACTTAAAAACTCAATTGAGAATACAACCAGCAGAGTAGAACACTTAGAAGATAGAACATCAGACAATGAAGACAAAGTATTTCAACTTGAAAAGAACATAGACAGCTCAGCAAGACTGTTAAGAAACCATGAGCAGAACATCCAAGAAATATGGGATAACATAAAGAGACCAAACTTAAGAGTCATTGGGATACAGGAAGGGATAGAGCTCCAAACCAAAGGAATGAGCAATCTATTCAATGAAATAATATGAGAAAACTTCCCAGACTTGAAGAATGAGACAGAATCCCAAATCCTAGAAGACTACAGGACACCAAATGTGCAAAATCATAAGAGATCCACACCTAGACACATTATAATGAAGATGCCCAACATACAGAATAAGGAGAGAATTTTAAAAGCAACAAGAGAAAGGAAGCAGATTACATTTAGGGGTAAGCCAATCAGGATAAAAGCTGATCTTTCAACACAGACTCTGAAAGCTAGAAGATCCTGGAATAACATATTTCAAACACTGAAAGAAAATGGGTTCCAACCAAGAATTGTGTATCCAGCGAAATTAAGCTTCAGGATGGAAGATGGAATTAAAACCTTCCACGATAAACAAAAGTTAAAAGAATTTGCAGCTAGCAAAACATCTCTTCAAAACATCCTCGGCAAAACATTACAGGAAGAGGAAATGGAAAATAACAATGAAAACCAACAGTGGGAGGTGGGACACTAAAGGGGGGAAATAATCAAAGAGGAAAAAAAAACATGTTTAGTAATATAAATAAACAAATATGGCTGGAAGAAAAACCCATATCTCAATAATAACCCTAAATGTTAATGGCTTAAACTCATCAATTAAGAGACACAGGCTAGTAGAATGGACCACAAAACAAGACCCAACAATATGCTGCCTACAGGAGACACATTTGATAGGAAAAGACATACATAGGCTGAAGGTGAAAGGTTGGGAAAAATCATATCACTCATACAGACTTTGGAAACAAGCAGGTGTGTCCATACTCATATCAAATACAATAGATGTCAAGCCAAAGTTAATCAGAAGGGATAAAGAGGGACACTACATACTGCTCAAGGGAACCATACACCAACAAGACATAACAATCATAAATATATATGCCCCAAACAATGGTGCAGCTATGTTCATCAAACAAACTCTTCTCAAGTTCAAGAGTCTAATAGACCACCATACAATAATCATGGGAGACTTCAACACACCTCTCTCACCACTGGACAGATCTTCCAAACAAAAGTTGAATAAGGAAACTATAGAACTCAATAACACAATTAATAACCTAGACTTAATTGACATATATAGAATATACTACCCAACATCAAGCAGTTACACTTTTTTCTCAGCAGCACATGGATCCTTCTCAAAAATAGATCATATATTATGTCACAGGGCAACTCTTAGACAATATAAAGGAGTAGAGATAATACCATGCATCTTATCTGATCATAATGGAATGAAACTGAAAATCAACGATAAAAGAAGGAAGGAAAAATCATGCATCACTTGGAGAATGAACAATAGGTTACTGAATGATCAATGGGTTATAGAAGACATCAAGGAGGAAATTAAAAAAAATTCTTAGAGATAAATGAAAACACAGACACAACATATTGGAATCTATGGGACACATTGAAAGCAGTTCTAAGAGGAAAATTCATTGCGTGGAGTTCATTCCTTAAAAAAGAAAAAAAACAACAAATAAATGATCTTATACTTCATCTCAAAATCCTAGAAAAAGAAGAGCAAAACAACAGCAAAAGAAGTAGAAGGCAAGAAATAATTAAAATCAGAGCTGAAATTAATGAAATCGAAACAAAAGAAACAATTGAAAAAATTCACAAAACTAAAAGTTGGTTTTTTGAAAAAATAAACAAAATCAACAGACCCTTAGCCATGCTAATGAAGAGAAGAAGAGAGAGAACTCAAATCACTAGCACACGGGATGAAAAAGGCAATATCACAACAGACACTTCAGAAATACAGAAGATAATCAAAAATTATTTTGAATCCTTATACTCCAATAAATTAGAAGATAGTGAAGGCATTGATAAATTTCTTAAGTCATATGAACTGCCCAGATTGAGTCAGGAGGATATAAACAACCTAAACAGACCAATATCAATTGAGGAAATAGAA